CATAACTTAATCTAATCTACATGTAATCTAACCTGACCTAACTAAAGCAAACCTATAAACTTTCTCTAACCTAGCATATGTATAGTTGGTTCAGATTAAATCAGAGTAGGTCTGGTTAGGTTAGGTTAGGTTAGGTCTGGTTAGGTTAGGTTAGGTCTGGTTAGGTTAGGTTAGGTTAGATTAGGTTAGAGAGTTCACGCATGTAAATACTGTACATGGAGGAAGGGAGCGGGAGGGGGGAGGGGGAGGCAAGGATCCGGGTCGTGAAGTCCTGCAAGAGGTCAAATGTCCTACGCATCCAAATTTCATAAGGAGATGAATGTCCGCAACGGGCAGGAGGAGGAGGAGGAGGGGTAGGGAGGGGGAGGAGAAGAGGAAAGGTAGGTAGGGAAGGAGGAGGAGGAGAGTGGGGGAAGGGTCGAGGGCAAGGAGAGGTTAAGGTGGGAGGGCAAGAGGAGGAGGAGGAGGAGGAGGAGGGCAATGTCCGTGTCCCAAGGTTATCGTGTCCACCACCACCAGGTTACGTCGAGAACATCCCCGTCAGGACGATAACACATGCGGCGGGACTATCACCTCCTGTAGGTTATCGTCAAGTGTTAATGTGGAGGTAAACACGACCAACAATGCCTTTATCTGATGATGATGATGATGATGATGATGATGATGATGATGATGATGATGATGATGATGATGATGACGATGATGATGATGATGATGATGATGTTTATATGATGATGTTTATATGATGATGAAGATGATGATGATGATGATGATGATGATGACCAACACCTGCACCGTACAGTATACTGTAGTGTATATGTCAGCACAGGCATCATTACGGGGATGTGCTGAAGGTAACAGGGAAGTGCTGAAGGTAATAAGGATGTGCTGAAGGAAACAGGGATGTGCTGAAGGAAAGAGGGATGTGCTGAAGGAAACAGGGATGTGCTGAAGGAAAGAGGGATGTGCTGAATGTAACAGGGTGGTGCTGAAGGTGAGAAGGATGTGCTGAAGGAAACAGGGATGTGCTGAAGGAAACAGGGATGTGCTGAATGTAACAGGGTTGTGCTGAAGGTGAGAAGGATGTGCTGAAGGAAACAGGGATGTGCTGGAGGTAACAAGGATCTGCGTATAGTGTTGTGTTGTGTTTAGTCAGTCACATCCCAAGTATATTATAATGTGTCAGTAATAATGGTGTCATTCCACTTGGACGATTAGGTTAGGTCAGGTTAGGTTAGGTTAGGTCAGGTTAGGTTAGGTTAGGTTAGGTTAGGTTAGGGTAATAGTTGAGGTAAAGACCCACCATCAGCAGGAAGATCCACAATATTCTGCCGTGTCATCTGTTATCTGAGAGGTCCATGCACCCACAGGAGGTCCTGGTCCAGCACCGCCTTGTATCTGCTCATACAAGTGACTCAATCATGGCTGTGTGGTGGATGACCCCTGACTGTCTCCATATATAATTAAGTGTTCGGGAGTAAGCTGCCTACTGATTAGGATCTTATGAGATTAACCTAACCTAACCTAACCTAACCTAACCTAACCTAACCTAACCTAACCTAACCTAACCCAACCTGACCTAACCTAACCTAACAAATCTTGCAATGAGTTGTGTTACCTCCAGGTAATTTTAGATCTCCCAGGTACCGTAATTAAACCTCCTCTGTTTCTACACCTGAGGTAAGTTTGGTGTTCCGGAGTGTTAAGGTCGCCTGGTGGGTGACCTTAACAAATATAGTATCATATTGATCCTGTTCGCCCTTCTTGGGATCTCTTAAAACAGATGAATGTTGGAGAATAATTTTTCCAAGTGGGCCTTTTAAAACACACGTCTACATTTCAGTAAACTTTCCCATACAAGAACCTTAAAATCTTTATCTGCGCTGTCACCAACACCTCGTCCCTCCCTGACCAGATGTCCCTCCTCCTACAGACAGGCCTGGCACTAGGGACCTGCCATGCTTTGCCATAAGCAGAGGAAGTGCACAGGTAATTCTCCCTCCACACACTCATCCTCCTGTCACTTATACTGTATAACTTGCTGACAAAACCCATGACCTTCTGTAGTGGCTACGGTCACTACACGACCTCTGTGATGGCTACAGTCACTACACGACCTCTGTGATGGCTACAGTCACTACACGACCTCTGTGATGGCTACAGTCACTACACGACCTCTGTGATGGCTACAGTCACTACACGACCTCTGTGATGGCTACAGTCACTACACGACCTCTGTGACCCCCAAATGAGGTTCAAGCAGCCCAGGAATGCAATGCATGAGGCAATACGTTTAACTCCTCGGCGTGAGAGATTAATTCATCACATGTTGTGTTAGTCATGAGAACAAAAAGAATTCAAGATGCGCAAAACACAACTCTCTCTCTCTCTCTCTCTCTCTCTCTCTCTCTCTCTCTCTCTCTCTCTCTCTCTCTCTCTCTCTCTCCAAAGGTATTACAAATTATGGGATCATTAGATAACATGTACTTTGTGTCTCCTGTGTGAGCGTGTGTGTGTGTGTGTGTGTGTGTGTGTGTGTGTGTGTGTGTGTGTGTGTGTGTGTGTGTGTGTGTGTGTGTGTGTTGTTTATGTGTGTATTTGTCACTTCTGATATGACAACCCTCCACCTCTCCCTCCCTCTGAGCGTGGTGAGAAGAGGCGGGGTGAGAGAGGGGTGAGAGGAGGGGAGGGGTAGGGGAGCGATTGCTAGGAGGGGCAGAATTTGTACCCCACAAACGTCATCCAGGCGGCTGGACCTTAAAAGTAATGCACATGGCAGGGGGGAAAAGAGGGTACACGTCCGCGTTCTGCTCACATGTGTGCACCTAATAAACACACAGACGAAGAAGCTGTGGGGAGGAAAGGAGGGAGGGAGGAGAGGGAGGGAGGGTGAAGACGACTACACCGACACTCCTGGAGGTATTTCCATACAGTCTTATCAGTGCATTAACCCTGGTAGTGAAGTGTTGGGGGGGGAGGGGAAAGAAGGGGAGGTACTGGTGTGGGGAGAAGGAGGTGTTGGTGGTGGGGTGAGGAAGGGGGGTGAGGTACAGGGGTGAGAAGGAGGTACTGGTGTGGGGGAGAAGGGGAGGTACTGGTAGGTGAGAAGGGAGGTACTGGTGGGGGAGAAGGAGGTACTGGTGGTGTGGGTGGGAAGAGAAGGAGGTACTGGTGGGGTGAGAAGGGGAGGTACTGGCTTTAATATCACTGTCCTGTTTCACTGCCTCTTGTTACTGGTGTGATGTGGTGATAAAGCAGGTCAGTGGTGATAAAGCAGGCCAATGGTGATAAAGCAGGTCAGTGGTGATAAGGCAGGTCAGTGGTGATAAGGCAGGTCAGTGGTGATAAAGCAGGTCAGTGGTGATAAGGCAGGTCAGTGGTGATAAAGCAGGTCAGTGGTGATAAGGCAGGTCAGTGGTGATAAGGCAGGTAGTGGTGATAAGGCAGGTCAGTGGTGATAAAGGCAGGCGATAAAAGGTCAGTGGTGATAAAGCAGCAGTGGTGATAAGGCAGTCAGTGGTGATGTCAGGCAGGTCAGTGGTGATAAAGCAGTCAGTGGTGATAAGCAGGTCAGTGGTGTGGCAGGTCAGTGGTGATAAAGCAGGTCAGTGGTGATAAAGCAGGTCAGTGGTGATAAAGCAGGTCAGTGGTGATAAGGTAGGTCAGTGGTGATAAGGCAGGTCAGTGGTGATAAAGCAGGTCAGTGGTGATAAAGCAGGTCAGTGGTGATAAAGCAGGTCAGTGGTGATAAGGTAGGTCAATGGTGATAAGGCAGGTCAGTGGTGATAAGGCAGGTCAGTGGTGATAAAGCAGGTCAGTGGTGATAAGGCAGGTCAATGGTGATAAAGCAGGTAAATGATGATAAAGCAGGTCGTTGGTGATAAAGGTAGGCCAGTGGTGATAAGGCAGGTCATTATTGATGATAAAGCAGGACAAAGTAATGGGGTGGAAACACTGTTATTGTGAAGGTAAGCAAGAGGCCTGCGGGCACCTGACCAAGACACTGGAGGGAGACTGTGCTATAACGGGGTTGGCAGGGTCATGGTGTGCTTGGCTTAGGGTACAAACTCCTGATGTTGCACCCTCGTGTTTACCACCGACAAATATACTGACTGCTGAAGACCAAACTGGCAAGCGCGGGTATACCGTGTGTTGTATGAACCGCCTCATCCCTCCCTTGTGTATGGTCGGGGTATGTGAGGCACCGATGTTTCTAGCAGTTTACACGAGACGAAGGAAGGAAGTTCCTCACAAGTAAGAGGTGAGGGGTGCCACGTCCTGCCTCCCAGGGTATAGTACACATCTTCTCAAAGTTGTTTACATGTGTAGCTTGCTGGCTGGTAGTGGCCACGCCCACCACTCTCGTTCATAAGGCCACGTGGGCCACTCGCATAGTGTCGACGCTGCCACTTCTCGCAACACTGACCGGGAGAGATAGTAATGAGATATAGAAGTGAGCAACGAAGGGAGGGCGATCTGGCAGCGCTGGAGGCTGCTGCTGGGAACGGCACCAGGAGGAACCTGGGAACACGTGGGTGCTGGTGCACTGGGACCGCCTACCTTATGCTGCTGCCCCCGCTTGGTGGTAATACCCATCGTTACCACAACTCACAAGGTACTCTGTGTATGATTCAGGTTACGAGGGTTATCGCTGGGAAACTTGGGGTAAATTTAAGTCTCCTTATTACTCTTGACACTTGTTAACCAAGGAAAGGTCTCCCAGCCAACGAGTTTATGGTCGTATTAACGTGAGCCGGATGTTAATGCGTCACTGCCCTCTCAGGCGATTTTCGAGCGACAAGGAACCTCCAGGCGGCGAATTCCTCGTTTTTTACATTAAACCAATAAACTAGACTTTTTTCTTCTTCTTCTTCAACTTTGACATTTTACACGAGAATACATTATATCCTGACAAATCTGGAGGCCAATTAAGCAAAACAAACCTTGATTAATGTTATGAGCGAGAAGGTGAAGAATTCTGGTTTTACTTAACCACCACAATGACGAAGGTAGGCCAGCCAGCCAGTCAACGTGAAGTAGTGATATGTAGAGCGAGGAGAACAGTGGCCCACCTGCCTCCCTCCCTCCCTACCCTCACCTAACATGTCTTCCCTTCCTCCCTCATTCAGCCTTCCTCCCTCCCTCCACCAGCTTCACATACTGCCCTACTTTTACTAGAACATCTGGCCAATGATTTACTGTATATGACTTGTCTTGTTGGTGATGTTTATGCCCTACAAGATGTTATTGTTTTACTATTGTTGTTATTGTTATTGTTGCTGTTGTTGTTGCTGTTATTGTTGTTGTTGCTGTTATTGTTGTTGTTATTGTTATTGTTGTTGTTGCTGTTATTGTTGTTGTTGCAGGAGACATCAGTCAGTACACAGTGTGTTCAGTACAGTACACAGTGTGCAGGAGGCACCAGCACACACAGTGTGGCAGGAGGCACCAGCACAGAACACAGTGTGGCAGGAGGCACCAGCACAGAACAGGCAGGAGGCACCAGCACAGAACACCAGGAGCACCAGCACAGCACACAGTGGCAGGAGGCACCAGTACAGAACACAGTGTGGCAGGAGGCACCAGTACAGTACACAGTGTGGCAGGAGGCACAGCACCAGCACAGTAAAGAGTGGCAGGAGGCACCAGCACAGCCCACAGTGTGGCAGGAGGCACCAAGCAGGAGTACAGTACAGTGTGGCAGGAGGCACCAGTACAGTACACAGTGTGGCAGGAGGCAAGAGCACAGCACACAGTGTGGCAGGAGGCACCAGCACAGAACACAGTGTGTGGCAGGAGGCACCAGCAGCACAGTGTGGCAGGAGGCACCAGCACAGTACACAGTGCAGGAGGCACCAGTACAGCCCACAGTGTGGCAGGAGGCACCAGCACAGCCCACAGTGTGGCAGGAGGCACCAAGTGGCACCAGTGCACACAGTGTGGCAGGACACCCAACAGAACCATTCACAGTGTGGCAGAGGCAGCACAGCACAGTACCAGTACAGAGTGTGGGGAGGCACCACACAGTACACAGTGTGGCAGGAGGCACCAGTACAGCCCACAGTGTGGCAGGAGGCACCAGCACAGCCAGTACACAGTGTGGCAGGAGGCACCAGCACAGCCCACAGTGTGGCAGGAGGCACCAGCACAGCCCACAGTGGCAGGAGGCACCGTACAGTACACAGGTGGCAGGAGGCACCCAGCAGTGTGGCAGCACAGTACACAGTGTGGCAGGAGGCACCAGCACACACAGTATAGTACAAAGAGTGGCAGAGGGGCACAGTGGGCAGGAGGCACCAGCACAGCCCACAGTGTGGCAGGAGGCACCAGCACAGAACAGAGTGTGGCAGGAGGCACCAGGTAGAGTACAGTACACAGTGTGGCAGGAGGCACCAGCACAGCCCCAGTGTGGCAGGAGGCACCAGCACAGAACAGAGTGTGGCAGGAGGCACCAGTATAGTACAAGAGTGGCAGGAGGGTACGGTACACAGTGTGCATAGGCACAGTGGCAGGAGGCACCTGCACAGCCCACAGTGTGGCAGGAGGCACCAGTACAGTACACAGTGTGGCAGGAGGCACCAGCACAGTACACAGTGTGGCAGGAGGCACCAGGTGGGGAAGGGCCAGGTTGACCGCAGCGGCCCTCACCAGAGATCAATAATAGGGAGCTTCGGTGACCTACTTGCCGCCACTCCGCTCCTCTGCCTGGGTGCCACCTGGGGAACTACACCCGTACCCAGTACACTCTTCATACACCTCGCTCTTCTCTCTTGTGGAGGACTTTTTAGTTCATGTACCAGTCGAGTTGACTATCATATCAACACAGTAGAGAATTATCATGCTAAATTTACCCCCAGCAAGAACCCACGACAATGTAGAGCCTCACAGATTAGAATGATCCAATGAAATCCTGACAAAAGAGGTAAAAGTAGGTCGCGGTCACGTGATCCAACCCAACCAATCAGCGTCCTTCTCTCCTGTACTCTGGCAGCTCCTGCGTAACTTGTGTAGTGTCCGTGAGAGAGAGAGGGTGTTTGGGGCGCACCCTGCCACTTCCGTATCTCCTCAGCTGCTGGGGAGGTGTTGTGGTGTGTCGTTTACCCTCTCCTCCTCCTCTCCAAGCCCCCTCCCCTCTCCCCCCTCTCCAAGCCCCCTCCTCTCCCCTACCCCCTCTCACCCAACACATATCCTCACACTTGTTTTGCCAAATTACACGAATAGACTCAAGTCGAATACGCTTTTTTAACTTAATGTCTAACCTAACCTAACCTAACCTAACCTAACCTAACCTAACCTAACTTAACCTAACTTAACCTAACCTACCTAACTTTTCCCTTCCTTCTATCTTTATTGTTGAACTTGATATAATATGCTCGATCTGACTGTCAACTGTTTTTTGGGGTTTTATCCCTTCAAATGTTTATATTCAGGTAATTTGCGCCATAACTTATCCTCTCGTGTAGTGTTAACGGTGTAGAAAGTAATCGTCACTCAAAATAAAAAAAAATCACCTGAAGATTAACCCCTCCCAGTTTATTTCACCCGATGATTCAACTCCCTAACTCTATACTTGGGAGGGTTTGGTTAGATTAGGTTATATTACGTTAGGTTAGGTAAAGTTACATATTACATGTCTCAAACATTGCACGAAAATGAACGTTAAATAATAAGATTTTTTTTTTTTTTTGGCCGTGGACACCAGCTTGTTTATTGTGCATCCCATACTCAGGTACTCATCATCTCCCACCACCACGCACCATAACACTCACAACGGCAAGGAAAGCGTAAAATAAGGTACAGTAAAATATGTAATGTGTTCCTCAAGAGTATAGTTGACCTCTCGAACACTCTCGCCTTGCAGACAGCAGACGTAAACAAAGTGCTTACAACAACACAGCCTAGCAGACACTCCCACCATCCTAGCCTAGTGTGTGTGTCCTCGGCCCGCCATGACCCACTCGACCACTCCTCTCACCACATAGCTTAACACATTCCACATCATTATTCAAATAGTTCTCTAAGAGCAAAGACGATACTCTGTTGTTTTATTCTTGGAGGTGAAATGAGGTCGAGTAAACACCCTCCACCCCCATTGCTAGGTACTACACGATGGTCAGACTGCTATACCCACACACAAACGATCTGTCAAATTCATGAAGACCTGATCATGCTTTTTAACTCATCTACCGACAACAAGAATAAAACAGAGCAGATGTCACCTTGTGTGTCCACCATAAAACACAACACAATAAAACTTTAACTAAGCCATAAATATTAACAGTAAACACAACTTCTTTCTCTTAATCTTGACGAAGGTGAGGGAGCTGGTGAGTGTTCCTGATGCCTGTACTAGAGTCATCATACTAAGGGAGGTAGAGTGTTCCTGATGCCTGTACTAGAGTCATCATACTAAGGGATGGTGAGTGATGCCTGTACTCCTGATAGAGCCTAGAGGGTAGGTGGTGAGTGTTCCTGATGGTACTAGAGTCATCATACAAGGTAGAGGTGTGTTCCTGATGCCTGTACTAGAGTCATCATACTAAGGGAGGTGGTGAGTGTTCCTGATGCCTGTACTAGAGTCATCATACTACTCAAATTTACCACAAGATAACAGGATTTTTTCCACATTGATAATACCATCACTAATAATATAAGTTCCCAGTATGATTTATAATACAATACAATACAATAATAATTAAATAAGACTATAGATAGCCCAGGTGTGTGTTTTTATAAACAAATTCACCGGGAAAAATTATATTGTACAAAATATATCCGATCGAGAAATATATATTTTAATTTATTTGTCACGAAGCTTACCTGAAGATTAGCTCCCCATCATTTCACCTGAATATTAACCACCCTAACGTTTAACCTAACCTAACCCCCAGGTAGCGTTAGGGTGTTTAATCATCAGGTGATATAGATTAAGGTGACTACTTTTCAGGTGATCCGTAAAATTTTATAAGTTATGTTCAACAGTGACTAATAATTACACATGTATACGCTTAAAACCATACTCTTCATACACCAGCCAGACCTGTCTCCCCACACACACACACTAATAAAATCCTGCACACAAGTGACAAACTGCCCGTACAGCTGCCCCCCAACACACACTAGTAACTTACCTTTAAGCCTGCCCCCCCCTAACACAAACTTTACGTAATACAAGACCCCCCCTGAGCACACAGCCCCCTCCCCGGACATTTTCGATCCGCCTACACCATCTCTACACCAACCCCGCCCTCCTGAAACACCCGTCGTCTTCTCAGAATTAGATATTCGCTTTCCTAAGCAACGTCGTCTTTGGCCCACCTAGGCGAGTCGCGACCAACACAGACCAACACAGACCAACAAGTCCTCCCCTGACCACCACACGCCCTCACACGCCCTTATCACGCCTCCCTCCCGACCAACACACGCCTTCCCCAACCAACACACGCCCTCCCCGACGCCCTCCCCCGACCAACACGCCTTCCCCGACCAACACACGCCCTCCCCGACCAACACACGCCCTCTCCCCGACCAACACACGCCCTCCCCGACCAACACACGCCTCCCCGACCAACACACGCCCTCCCCGACCAACACACCTCCTTCCCCACCACCACGCATGACAATATAAGAATGAGGGAACTGCAGCGGTTCTATTGGTCCATACTAGGCAGTCCCCCTTACACCCCAGCCCCCATCGCTCATATATCCATCCAACCTATGTTTGAAGCTATCCAGCGCATTCGAGTTAATGGTAGTGTTGGGTGTTTTTTGTACCACTCATCCACTACTCTATTTACAAACCAGTGTTTACCTATATCACGCCTAAATCTAAATTGGTCTATTTAAAACCATTACTACGTGTTTAAGTACCCCCGTTATATCACCTATGTTTAGCCCTGACTTCCATTTATACACTTCGATCATATCGCCCCTCACTCTTAGACGTCTTTCAGGGGAATGCAAATTCAGTTGCTTTAATCTGTCTCCATATTCAAGATTCCTAATGTCAGGGATTAACCTTGTCATCCTCATCTGAATGCTTTCTCGGAAATCGATATCCATTCTGTAGTACGGTGACCAAAACTGAACAGCGTCATCCAAGTGAGATCTCACATACACGAGAAGCTATAGTTGAAGGATAACCTCGCTAGTCTTGTAACTAACACTCCTTCGTATGAACCAAAGTACATCGTTAGCCTTGTTTCGGGCATATATGGTACGTATTGTTGTCTTGGTTAAGGTTCTGACTTATCATTACCCTCCAATCTTTCTCACCGTCGGATTTCTCTATATCAAGGTTGCTCATTTGATGATAGCTGGTTTCCCTGTTTCCATTTCGCCAACCCACCCATACTAATCTACCAAACCCCGTCCAACTAACCAACGTCGTCCTAACCCACCCATTCCGCCTCGACCCACGCATGGGAGTGTGGGTAGGTCTCGGAGCACGTAATTGGGTCACGGCAGGAGTGGATCGATTAGAGTTTTGTTAGTGTGGGTTGGGAGTGGGTTGAGCAAAGTGAGTGTGGGTGAGTCGAGAAGAGGAATAAAGTTGGTCGAAATGGGCGTGAGTAGGTCGAGGAGGGTGTGAGCGAGTCAGGGAGTGCGTGGGTGGGTAGGAGAAGAGTGCGTGGGCGGGTCGGGGAGTGTGTGGGTGGGTCGGCGAGTGCGTGGGTGGGTGGAGGTGTGCCTGGGGTGAGAAGTGGAGGAGTGCGTGGGTGGGCAGATGAGGGCGTAGGTGGGTCGGAAAGCGCGTGGGCGGTTCAGGGAAATAGTGGCGGGTCGAGGGGCGTGGGTGGCGTGAGTATTGATTGCGGGCGTGTGGGGTGATCTGGTACAATGACGTGGCACTTGTACACGATGGCAGCGCCCCTCTCTGTGGCACTGACCAGCTTCTACACCTACTAGTATTGTGGTGACAACAACAACAACAATAATAATAATAATAATAATAATAATAATAATAATAATAATAATAATAATAATAATAATAATAATAACAATAATATAATAATAATAATAGTAATAATAATAATAATAATAATAATAATAATAACAATAATATAATAATAATAATAATAATAATAAGAAATAATACGTATGCTCTACGTCTGTGTGTCTGTTGTATGATGTACTTATATATTGTATTGATGTACGTTTCATTGACGTATAGTATACTGATGTGTGTTGTGTATATTGTGCTAATGTTTTATGATGTATGTTGTATGATGAGGTATGATGTTGCATGTTGTATGATGTATATGGCATGATGTATGTTGCATGATGTATGTTACATGACGTATGTTGTATGATGTGTGATGTATGTTGTATCATTTATCATGTATGATGTGTGATATATGATGTATAATGTGTGGTGTATGTTGCGTGATGTATGGCGTATGATGTATGAATGATGTATGATGCATGTTGCATCATGTATGATGTATGTTGTATATTGTATAATTTATCAAGTATGTTGTGTAATATATGTTGTATGATG